CCTGTTGATCGTTTCAGATAATTGTCTGTTAGTGATTATAAAAGCCCAATTTTTATCATCATCTGTATTTCATTATATTTAGTGTTCAGAAAATTTCCCCCCTTGCACACGTAACCCTGTGATCAACCTCCTTCAATCCAATGTGTATATTATCGTAAGACATCCATACACCTAAATATTCAAATCATATTTGAATTTAGGATATTGTGATTATTTACTGAAATAGTTGTATTTGACTTATTGAATAGTTATTAAATTACAATATTGTGCCATTTATTTTGTTACATAATTATTATTTATTAATGAATAATTATTTTCTTAATTGTATGATCATGTATTTTTATATACATTTTCTTATTATTTTTTAATTTGTCATTTTCTGTATGAAATTGTATATAGGCCTAGTTATTGCCTTTTTTATTCAATTTGTATACAGTATAGCTAACTTAATTAATTCTCATTTATTGAATTGTATATACCCATTAACTTACTGATTGGCCTAGTTTGTACCGTACATGCAAATTGTAATTCAGACTGTGCGGCTACATTTTTATTTTAAATGTGAATGAATAAAGGATACCGACGCGACTATTTCATTATTATCTGTCCTTCCACAAATTTTAACTTTACTGATTATTTGTAATACGTCGTATTCTGGTGTATTTTAAAATTACTTTAAAGTATATTGTACATTTCATTTTTCCTTAAATTTGCAATAAAGTCACCTTGTATCTTGTATTTCTTTTTCTACGCGAAAATGAATTAAAAACCTTATGTGTGTGCGGCCCGGCAAGCAACATTGGCTAGAAAACACCTTGTTTCTTACGATGCGACACCCATCATTGTAAAAAGCAATACTAAAACTGGGAATAAAGTGGTGTAAAAGCAATGCTTGGAGGTTTTTGGAAGCACACTGGAAACACCAAAATTTAGGTGCGGCCCTCGGTTATAAATCAAAAATTCCCTTGGGCCCTCCTCTGGTAGTCTTTCCAGACAATGTATACTAGAGCCACCACTGCGTAGGAAATAGCGCGATCTTACAGAGGAAACCAGTAAATAAATCAAACGAGAGAAGACACCCGCCCGCCAAGCAAAAGTAAAGAACTAGGACGGATGCATGATTTGGCGGTAGGGGGTGCGCGGAGTCCACACAGCCTCAGCCCCAGCATGGTTGGGGCTGAGGGTCAACAATTTTAAAAATATGGACCTCTGGGTTCCCAGAAAAATTGCGTATACCTTAAAAATCTAACCGGTAATTCAGATCAACAATACAATGCAACACGAGGGGGTGCGATCGCATCGTCTGCACCTCTGCTGCTTCAATTGTACAAGACACAATTCCTAGGCCCAAGATTTCATCTAAAAATTTGGACTTGAGTCTCACAAAAGCACTCAAATGAGACATATTAAGGTCGAACTGACAATGACAATGGATACAATAGGCCTACATGTTTATTTTACTTGCTATTGAAATCGATAAATCGTCTACAGAATGTTGATTAATGATTATATATAACTATATTGTATATTTTTTGGGGAAAACTTTGGGGGTGGGGCGGGGCAGACATTGCCTGTCAGACATTTCGACCCATGCGGGCAAATTTCTGGAGCCACCACTGGTGTTGTGTGTCCCTTGTCTTGATTTTTTTGGACAGCCTGTGCTGTATGGCCTCTTGGTCTGTTACAATGCTAGCGTAAATACCACACAGTTGATGTGTAACATCAATCCATAACTCACCTTTATTCAAAATCATGAAGCTTAACGCGCGTCACATATATTATAATATATATACAATAATGATGAATATAAAATGGCAAAAACATTTTTACTGCTATTTTACAAATATTAAATGTTTAGTAATAGCACATAAATGGTAATTAATCAAACAGATTATTAATCAAAAAAGAATTTGTCCAAATATCTATAGATTTTAAAAGGATTAATGATATGACACCCGTATTATAGCACTACTATAAACTGACTACCTTAAATATAATCCTTGGATATCTCAATAGTTGCCCATGGTATTTGGAGCACAGAAAACGATAAATGATGAACAATTGCGTTGTATGCTATTCGTCTCTTACGGGAAATTTGTGGAAATGTCCACAATGCAAAGTGGAAATGCACGAGAGTTGCATTATAAGGTGGTGTAATACATCACAAACTTGTCCACATTGCAGATATAACATTGCAGCTCACCAGTCTGCTGCAAGAAACATGTTGTTTGGTGAATCTGACAGAAGTTGGATCAGAACATATGATTTCTATAACTAGACTGGTAAAACAAATACCTTAAAAGGTGTTTTTTTTTTGTATTTTAGGTCGAATTATTTAAAGAATTTAAATTATTTAATCTAATATATTGAATTTGTCGCTTTCTTGTATGGAAACGGCTCCTCTTACGAGCTGAGAATTGAAATGACGCACTAAACATACTTTTAAATTTAAATTATTCATCAGATCAAAACCTATAATTATAAGTTATTCGTTCGTGAATCATTTAAATCTACATTTACAAACCTGAGGAATCTATTCATGGAAATATAATAATTGTACTGTGCGTGGTTCCTATAATAATAATAATAATAATAATAATAATAATAATAATAATAATAATAATAATAATAATAATAATAATAATAAATAATAATAATAAATATACACTACTACTGCTACTATTAGTGGTACAGTACCAGCGGCGCCCCTCCATAAATTACTTGCACCCCCGGGCGCCCCCCCCCCACCAAAAGTCACGGTCAATTTGTTAAAAAGCGCATAAAATCACATTATCCCCCTCAACTAATCATTGACCCCTAGATACGCCACTAGGTACTACTCTAGGCCTAATAATAATTACAAATAAATAGGTTTTGTATTTAGGCCTAAATGAAAAATACGGTAACGCTTATAAAGGAACGACGTTTTGACCATATGGGCCTATTTAGGAGTGGCGTCAGTGGGGAGAGTGTCCCTTCGGGGAGAGCTGGCCTCCAGTCGGGGAGAAACACTACAATTCGTCGGGGAGAAAAAAAAAATGTACACAACTATTTTCAACAGAAAATCGACTTCAAAATCGAATAAGCATTTGAAACCCCTAAATTGTTTTATTTTTCGGGGGCTTAAGTTCAATTAATAAGATCACAGGCATGAGCTGCTGTTGTTTACATTTTGTATGCAATTGTATCCTGTGTAGGCCTATTGATTACTTTGACGACATTTTTGCCACAGGATGGGGTATCGGTAAGCAAGTAGGTCGCATATGCTGAACATGAATATGTTATAGCAAGAAGAACCTCAGTTTGTAGAAACAGGCCCTTTTTGACATGACAACTGCTTGTCAGTGATATTTAAACTGCAGAAAAGAAAGGCCTGGTAATCCTGGTTTTTTATTTGATTTTTTTTTTCCGGTTTTTGTCCCAGGGTTAATTTAAGGATCATAATCAAGGTTTAGTTTTCCTTCTGTTATTTTCGTAGTGAGACCTCAGACACACACTATCATGTTTTGTTCGGAAGTAAAACTGATGACTCATGACTTCTAACTTTTCGGAAATGAAATGTGTGACGTTATAATGATAAATGTACGTAGGCCTATACCTCATGCTAGTTGCTATTGGTTAAATTGTACAAGCATTTATACATCTGATATTAAATATCAAAGCATGTGAGATTATAATAATAAACATTTAAACGTAGGCCTATATTTCAATATTATTTAAAGATAAATAAGGATCATAATTCATTAATGATTTAATTAAATTTTAATTAAAAAACATTGCTATGCATAATTGTGACACCTTTGTGTTACGATGCAACCTTTTATTGCATATTAAATATAGATGCTGGATATATCTATTGCTGTAAATGACTGACGGGCGTGCGTATGTGACTTTGAACTAGAAAGTACATTGTTATGTAGTGCCTTCGTCAGGTTGCTGCTTATAAGGGGAGCAGCGCTCCCTCACCTTTGGCTGCCCAGTGAGCAAGAGTGAGCTTGGCAGCCAAAGGGTGATGGAGCATAAAAGGGTGAACCCTTTTTGCTAATTTTCTTTTTTCTCACGTACACAAACATATACCTACTACATATATAAAACTTAATGTGTAACAAAAAGCCGGTCACAGCTTTAAACGCAAAAACCGATTGTCCACGCCGAATATACTCTAGAAATTTGATGTGATAAATAAATAGGCCATCTATATGATTGTTAGATATTCCTATAATTATCTGAAATGGGGTCTATGGGCCATTGTATAGACTGGAGTGGATTTAGGAGGAGCTTTGGCAAGACGTCAGATGTTGCTGTGTCCGCCCCATGATTCAGCAGATAAATTGTCTTTATCAGAAAAGGTATGAGATAGTTAGCATTTGGATTTGGTAGGCCTGGTCAATCCATGTCCAATCTAGAAAGCCTGTTACGTCTGAAAGGAACCTTTAAAAAAAATGAGAAGCGCTGTGTAAAAACACTTAATGTAATTTAGCGCTTCAAATAGGTAGATAGGCCTATCGTAGGCCTATTTACAGTACACTACTGCTATTTCATAGTAAATGTAAACAAATATGGTATAGGGGCCTATAATACTTTAATAAGGCCCTATGCATTTAACCTACGTCCGCTCCCACAGATGTTGCAGGCTCTCCTTGGATTTGCTGTAGTGACTGACCTTTAGCCATTGTCGTAATTTTATTCAAAATAGAAACTGGATTAATGGAGGAAATTTTTATTAAAAACAAGTGGAGTAAAATGGGTGGGTATTATGAATTATCGGATGAAAAGTTTGCATACTGTACCTAGCTAGAGCCATATATGACTCTGCATGCATAATGCATGCACCTATCATCAAACGCTCCTGGTTGCTATGGTTTTTGTGACGTTCAGCGTGTAGGGACGCACGTGCGCCTAGAATGTCGATGCCAGAGTTATAACCTTTGATGTCCCGAGATGTGCGTCCTTTTGTTGAATTACCTTGATCAAACGCTCCCATGTCCCGCATGCGCAGATGTCTTCTGTTTGTTAAAGCGGTTTAAAGGACGCAGGATGCAATGCTGTACAAAAACAATAAAATCTATTGAATGAAAAGTAACAGTATATACGCTGCTCTCTAAATATTTATCATGTTTTTTCAAAGTTTTTGAAGAGGTTTACTGTCACAGTAAGTTGATTACGTCTACTATACAGATTAAACATATATAAGACGATTAAATATAGAGCGGTATGATCAACGTAAACGCTAGGCCTACGATGCGCGTGATGATTCGTCATCACACTTTCTTGAGTAGCCGAGCTTTGAGTTGTTCGTTCCGACGAACTATGTCACTGTATGGCCGAGGTGAATAGGTAGGATAATGTTAGGCCTACATTGGGTGAGTTAATATTATGTGCTCACTGTGAGCATAGGCCTAATCCGAGTAGATTTTATAGTCGTAAGTAAGTGACTGTTCATTCAGCAACAAATCATATCAAGATCAAGAAACTGTGTGGTTAACGAGGCTAGGTCTAGTAGGACAGGCCAAGCTGAAAATTGAGACGATTGGGTCCTTCTCCTAGTGTGTACTTTCGGGTCCACTTTCATTCTGATTTATTATTGCGTTCCAAATATAACATAGGACCTATACTAGGTATTTCAATAACATGCTAAAAATATGTTGTTCTTTAAACAAAAAATTGTATTAAATGATCATTTTAATAATTTTATTTATTTATTTCGGTATATCAAACATCAACGAATAGTAATACAAATGACAGCCATGGCATGGTGCTGAACTAATTTTGCCTAAAGCCATGGGGCCCACCAGACGATTGGGCCCAGGATGATAGAGCCCATTTCCAGACGATTGGGCCCACTTTCAAATCAAGCCTGATCGTTATGAAAATGGGCCCGATTGTCTTGGGCCTGATCATTTGTAATATAAGCTCGAATCGGACCATACTACTATTATTATCAGCCCTATTTATTATAAATTGATAGGAAATAAAGGAAAAAATTAAACATGGGTTATTTTGGCCTAAAAAGGGCTGTGTAACTCTGGCAAAATGACTGAAGGCTTAAAACAACCTAAATTTATGATTAAATTAGGGCCACCAACTATATGTACTACATGACTTACAATACATGGCTATATTATTATATTAGGCTAGGTAACTGTAGGCCTGGGACAAATATTTAAATTAATATTATCCAATACTGACCCATACAAGCATGTCCTACACTCCTGTCACCCAAGAGTGTGTAGGCTACAGTAGGCCAACTAAGAAGTACTAACAACATTTGTTGTTTTATGCTTGCAAACACAGATGCGGCTGAGAGCCCCGAGGGTGAAGGTTAAACCAGCGCTGTTCTTCCTACTCGTATCATCCTCAGTCTTGTTTTACATTGCTGTAGACGTGCCCATTGCGTATCCTATGCCACAACAATGCGAGCCGTAAGTACAGCTAGACACATGTTGTTCAAACAAAATTGTAATTATTATTTATGTTTGTTCCAGTGGTTGTTCCCAACTGAGTACATCGTCCTTAATAATTTTAAGGTCATTCGTCATGACCAATGAACATGATGGTCACAGCGATAATCACTGATTTAGAGACCAGTCAATGACATACACTCTAGTGTAATGCACTAGGAAATAAGCTGAATACTTATTTTCTGGTAGAATAGCCATCTAGTGATAGGATACACAGGTCCTAAGTCTACCGCAACTTGCAGGAGTCTCCCAGAAATTGGGACAGCCTCCCGTAAGCATGCAGGATTCTCTTGGAAAAAGACCTATCTCCTGCAAATTTCGTAATATTTCCATGTACAGTATTTTTTTTTTATCAATTGTTTCATGAAGTCAGTGCTGATGGCTTTCACTATGTGCACCAAAATTAAATTAGACGTGTTAAGAAAGCTCATAAAGCCTGTTTTCAGCTAGGCAAATTTATTTGCGTGAATCAAAGGCATCGGTTCAGTTCTTGAGCTCTGATTGGTTGTGCATTGGTTTGGTTTTGCAAAACGTAGAAACAGTTTAAACTACCGATTCGCTGAAGCAGCGAGAACTCCAATAGAAATGTGAATGTGCATGCCCTTCGAATGCACACACTTTTCGAATCAAGCAAATAAATTCTCAAGTGGAAAATAGGTTTTAACCAGATTTCACAGAAGTGACTTCTTCCAAATCTAGGACCCCTGAGGATAGGACCGAGAGAGAAAGAGTCTGTCGCTATATTTATCATTTATTTTCAAGAAAAAGCATAATTTTTATTTACAGTTTCCCTTTGGAGAAAGCTGCAGCTATGAGAAGTCTATATAAGAAGAAAGGACAATGGGATGCAGCCAAAAAAATTAAGTATGTTTTCTGTTTACTGACGCTTTTGATTGTCTTCAAATGTCAAATAATTATAACTATAATAATATAAATAATAATTATATAATTATTCTAATTTATATAATTTTTTAATTATATAAATAAAGTAAAGTAAAGTAATAAGTAAAGTATTGTTAAGTTGGTATATATTTTAATAATTCTTTTTATTGTTTTTTAATAGTTTTTATTTTGTTAACCTGTTTTACAAATAATAAATATGTTATACTCTTTATCACTGTTCTTTTATTTTATTTTTTAATTTTTATTAGGAAACTTGCCAAGAAATGCCTGCCTCCAGACCACACATTGATGATTTACGCAGCGAATAACACACCGGAAAATCTTGATTTTAAACAAGGTTTCAATGTTTTTGAATATGTCAATTTTCTTTTTGATGGAAAGACTGGAATGCCGGCTGAAATGGAGGCCAACTTTGAAACTGTACGCCCACAAAAGAAATGTGCAGTGATAGGAAATAGTGGAATATTACTTGGCAGTGGATGCGGTAAGGAGATTGACACTCAGTATGATTTTGTTATGCGATCAAATATCGCACCCATAAAACAATTCGCAAAAGATGTTGGAATAAAAACAAATTTTACAATTATCAATTTAGAAACAGTAAGAACACTTTATAATCTACTTGCTCGTGATAAATCAGATCCAGAGACTTTGGCAGCAGTTGAGAAAATTAGATTTTTAAATGATTCCATAGTTTGGTATCCCAAAGGAGTACGCTTTCGGTTTTACGCTCGAATGAGGCTGCAAACAGTTGCGAGAAAGTTGAAAGATGAGTACAAGCTACTTATTCGCATTGGATACAGTTGGCGAACATTGGCAGCAATAATCAAATGGTGAGCATATTTCTCGCTTCATTTTAAATCAGTATCCGTCATGGTAAATTCAAAGAACATTTAATTACAAGATACAAGTTACTGTAACTTTATAATGCAAAAAGAAATTTTTATGTGATGTAAAGTTCTACTTTACATCACATAAAAATTGTAAAAACAGCAAATTGAGTTGTTCATTATGGGTCAAAGGTTAAACTGTTATCAACTTCAATTGAGAAGACCAAAACAATTAAGTTTTGCCTGATTACATGCTTCTTGCTGTAGAATTCCTAATATATTGGTTTACAGCAAATATTAATGGTGTACGGCAATAGAACTTAAAATGTCTACTACAGGCTCCCAAATCTTTGCGAGACACACTCAGAAATCAGCACTGTTCTTGAATTGCACGATCAAGCAAAATTCTGTTGGAAGCTAAACTGTCACCTGCAAATTCAAGGTGCTTGCGCATTTTTACTAGTACTGTATTATTAATAAGCCAATTCATTCTGCGCATGTCTGTAGTAAAGGTCAGTCGACATAAACAATCATTTAACACCGCACAGCATAGGCTTATGGCGGCCTTTGAAATTGTCTGAAAATAGTAAACTGTGATGTGATGCATAGTGTAACAAATACTTGCATCAATTAATAAACTAATATTTAAGGTAAAGATGAAGAACTGTTACTTATTGCTTCCTAAAAAGTTAGATGATTCCAAAAAGGCCGTACCTATTTGGAGGCCTACTATGTTCAATTTGTTTAATTGATTGTTTATGTCAATTGACCTTCACTATGGACATGCGCAGTTAGAACTACAAATTGGCTTACAGTATATTTTCTGCCCTGAAATTCAGCTGGCTAAGGCCTTCAGAAGATACAAAATACAATTAGTTAAAAACGCTAGTTAAACCAAATCTCCCATTAGTGGCTTCTAACTTTGTACCCCTGTCTTATGTCATTGTATCGGTAAACAATGTGGTAATCTACAGTAGTTCTCCAATAATATTCTTATATAATATTTTTACAGGTTTTGGTCCTTAGATGAGTACTACACAACAACTGGTCTTAATCTTTACACAATAGCGACTACTTTCTGCGATGAGATTACTCTGTATGGCTTCTATCCATTCCACGTCGATAGTAACGGTCGCAGCATCCAATACCATTATTACGAAGATATTCCCTACAAGTATGAAAACAATGTCCACGATTTCCCTGCAGAATTCCGTCATCTGAAAGAACTTGAAAGTATTGGCGGGCTTAAGTTGGTTACAAGTAAATGTAAGCAGCCGGAGTAAGTCTACAGTGTATGATATAGATGTGTATAAGAGACAGCATTCAACTAGTATGAAAAGTAAAATATTTCATTCAGGTAAATCTATGTTTGTGATAGTGCACTAATCGCACAAATTTTGTCTCATCAAATTTGATAGTGTGGGATGAACTCAAATTGTCAGCTTTCAATTGAAAGTTTTTGAGATAATGTCCTTCACTATTAACTAACATTGATTACAATTCCTCTTATACTAGACTGCCAAACCTTTTTCTATTTCCTTCCCATGTGCCAAGGGTCAAAGTGCACTGCTATAATTGAAATCAGTCTCATCAACCTATGAAACAGTGTGTCTAATGCCATAAGGCCATGTAAAAAAAAAAGGAGTTGTTGATCGTACTTTTTATGTAAAAAAGTCGGTAGGGAGAGGAGGTTTTTTATTTTTTAAAAAAAATCAATATCAAGTCTTCGAATCCCCCATGGAGTGCAAGGCTTCATGTACTGTAAAAGGTGGCTGACTTTGCCGAATCTTCCAGTGTAGCATTTGATCAGGAGAAACAATTGAAAGACAGAATAATTACTCCCCAAAAAACCTAGACCTAGCTGAAGTTGAACTATTGATAGAAAGACGATATTATTGTGGCTTTTGGCGGGGAAAAAAAATTGGTTGAGTGATTTTTTTTTTAAGTAGGGAGGGGACAATCAAGAACATTTTTTTTTTACATGGCCAACTGTAATATATTATAAACTGCCTTCATATAATCTAATAATGTTAATAATCTACTAGATGAAGTTGTGTCTAATGCATTGTAAACCATGAGTAATATCCAATGTCACTCATACCTCAATTTCACCTCGCATACATCTTTACCTTCTGGTAAAATTTTAAGTGTGACACCCAATGGTGGGTTTCGGGGGCGTAGCTTCTGGCGATAGCATTTATAGTAGAAAGGTCAATGACACATTACAGTACATATTTTTTAGTCAAGCCAGTAAATATATACAAAAATATTATTTTTCACTTAATAGTAGTTTTCAAGAGAAGGAATTTAGTTTAAATTTATTTTTCTAATTGGGATTTGCATTAGTCAAATATACTTAGCGTTTGTACTGTATCTGATGTTAAACTGTAAAATGTTTTGCAGTGTGATCATCATATTGATATTTAAATGCTTCAAAACTTGTTGATGCCAATACCTTAAAAAATGTGGAAGCGGTTAGCTGCAGTGGAAATGGTTTGGTTTCCCAATCTCGAGGTCAGGATTTCAATCCTTCACTGTGCATTTCACTTGTGTCTTTGAGTAAGGCACGTATTTACATTGCTTCAGTAGCTGTATGTCAATGGGTACCAGCAAATTGCTGCGAAGTAACCTGTTCTGGACTAATGTCCCGCCTAGGGGAGAATCACACTTTCATCTGCTTCACACTACAAAAACTTGGGATAAGCTCCATCCTTATGAGCCATGTGGCTTGGCAGTGATTTACTTTTACTATTACATAAGAAAAACCTTATTTTTTAAAATGGGTCGACTGGTGTTCTGGGCTTTTGCACTGTTACTGTACCCTTTCGCCACTGATATATCACTAAAAACCTTATTTTTTAAAATGGGTCGACTGGTGTTCTGGGCTTTTGCACTGTTACTGTACCCTTTCGCCACTGATATATCACTTATCATTGCATTAGCTTTATGATTCTACTTCTACATTGTTTCATTTAGCTTCTATTCTGGCTTTTTTGGGGTGCTTGTCTATAATCCCAGGGTTCCTTGATTAAAATCCTATAGAGCATCACCAACGATTATAACTTATTACAGCTAGCCTGATAAAGAAACAAACCTCTGCCCACACTTCAGGTTTTAGGCTACATATTTATATGATTTGCCCATAAACAGGCATGACGATGTTGTTGTCCCACATCCTTGGGAAAATTACAAATATTAGTAACGCCAGGGAGGTGCTTGTCACACAAAAACTTGATATTGTATGTGGACAGAGAGCTTAAACAGTGTTGAGGGCGCTATTAATTTTTCTCTTGATTTGAACTTAATTGTACTGTACTGTATTTGTATTTTTTGTGTCTTCAGGGCACGTTTTTTTCAAGGGGCTTTTAAATGTTAGTTGCAATTAGTAGTTAGCAACAGTAAAGTATTTAATGCATTCTATATTATATTTATATTATTATATATATTTTCATGGTTTATTGAATATGTTTTTTGATAACCAAGCAGACTTATTGGTATTTGTAAGTAGATTAAACATGAATATATATTCATATGTTTATATTAAACATATACAGTACATTGGTATGTTGAGTTTTTGACCAATTTGTCATTAAGACTTTGTGATATAAAAGAGAATATTTTATACATCACAAGTTGTAATAATTAAGGTTAATTAGTATAATCAGGTATATAATTTAATGTGCACTTGCCAATTTTTTAATAGAAACCCATTGAATCAGAATATGGGAGGGTTGTATGAAAGATCTAAGCCACCCCTGGATCCACTAGTATCCAGAGGATGAAGAGCATAAGAAAGAAAAATGTCCTCGATCATGATCACCCAAAACTTGATTAAAAGGCTAAATAGTATAATAATAATAATAAATATTTATATAGCACCTAATGTTAACAACCTTGAGGTGCTTAATAATAAAAAATAAAATAAAATGAGCAGAGATGCCAGAGATGTGACATTCAAGTAGTCTCACCCACCGATGTCTAAGTAACATGGCTGTCTCGGGAAATGTACACGCAGGTAATCCACAAAGGCAGTATGTTGGGCTCTGGCATAATTTCCACTGCAGAATAAGCCAGTGACTCCAATAGCGTGCACTGCCGAGACAATGACTTTACCATGAGTAAGGATAAGGTGAGACCAAACCTGAAAACCACTAGAACATCCTGCATAAAAATTTAAGTTGAAAAAATATTAATGCTGATACAACTTTGCAAGTGTAGGTGATACAGTAGATGATGCATTAATCTCAGTGCATATAATGGTACGAATCAGGTGTTTTATTAGGGAGTTTTTGTTGAAGTTTAGCAAGCATTCACTCGAGCTTTAAATTTGATTTGAAATCATTCTTACAGTATTATTAATATTTTAAGTGATTTAATTTTATAATTATTGTTATTTGTTTAAAAATAAAAATTAAAAAACCTTTCCAGAGTGTCAATCACACTTAACAACCGACCAATCAGAACAGGGCCAGGAACATGTGTGTCTCACAAACACGCATGTTGTCCCAAAGGCGCAGGCCAGGAACACGCGCGTGTCTCACAAACACACGTGTTGTCCCACAAGTGCAAGTGTTTACTATGTTTTTGCACTGTCATTGGGACCTTAGCAACAATATCCAAGGGCGGGGCTTAGCGGAAAGGTCCATTAAAAGACCTTTCCAGACTGTCAATCAAGCTGAACAACTGACCAACAAAGCAGGGCCAGAAATACGCGCGTGTCTTAAGAAACCCACATGTTTGCATATGTTTTTAACACTGTAGGTTTGTAGGAGCTTATTCAAGGGGGCGGGGCTTTTCAATGATAGATTGCTGATGACTATTAGCTGAAGGTGTCCTCTGATGATAATATATTATGCGGACAGTAAATCCGCTGACCGAACATTACAATCAAAAGTATAATAGGCCGTCTGCAAGTCAGATTTTACCGTTTGTTACATATTTAATGATGAAAATGTTACATCTTTAATATTGAAAATGAACAAATAAAAGTCATTAATGCATTTACATTTTAAAATATTATCTTGTCTTTTTTCTCTTCCTGTGCTGAAGTTTTGGAGGTGCTGTTAAGGTATGAACTTAATGTTCGATGTAGAAGGCCATAGTGTATATGAATATTATCATTGATAAGGTGCATGCAAAATGTTATTTGGACTTTCATAAAGACTAGATCTTTGATGCAAGAAATTGAGAGATGGGTATAGGGTGTAGTACCACATAATATTCTACTTAGATCATAATTTGTATCAATATCCTTGATTAGTGTGCTTTCAGCAAATACAAGTTTATTATTTTAATACGTCAAACACTCTTATCTATTCTAGTAGTAGGGACATTATGACTACCCACCACTCGGCTACTTCATTAGTGAACATACTTCGCTGATATGGAAGTGCTCTTCAACATTTTTTGTCACCGGGCCCAGTAATTCCTCTTTGAAAGATTTAAAAGATATTTATCCAGTTTCACTGATATCGGCTTATTACTTTTTAAACGAGGGTAGACCTACCATACTGTAGTCCGTGATTATAGGAACTTCCATTAGGCGTTAGGTACTGCTCAGGCTGTACTAACATATTAAAAATATATAGTAGGCCTACAGTATGCCTAATAGTAGGGGGAAATGCATGTACAGTATTACATCTGGTCACAACAGTAAAACTAGAGATGACATGCTAAAGCCCAACACAACAAGTGGTCATCTCTAAACCCCTGGCTAACAACAATAAGATAGGATATAAAAAACATGAAATATACAAAAAAAAAAAAAAAAAAAAAAAAAACCTTTACAAAACCCGGTGAGGCCGAACTTAAAATACTGTTCCAGTATATTGCATATCCTTACCAGAAAGAATATAAGAGCCAACTAGAAGCAGTTAAACGAAAAGAGGCAAGGCAGGGGTGGCGCCAGCGGAGAGGGGGTGGGGGGAAAGCTGCCGAAAAAAATCAATTAAAATAAGCCTTTGAAACCCCTATATTGTGCTTCGTCCCCTGGAACACTTTCGAGTGACGCCCGACCACGCCCACTTTTTTCGTCGGGGACATCGGACCCCCCGTCGAGAAAATCATGGCGCCACCCCAGGGGTAAGATTTGTTTGTAGAGAATATTTGACAGTTTTATCTCTTTGAAATCCTTTTCTGATTTACATTTTTATTTTATTTTATTTTTTTTTTGCGATTTTTCTTTTGTAAGCATTTTCTAATTTTAACTCTTACATGATCGAACAAGTCCTTTGTAAATTTTATACTATGTGTTTATATGTTGTATACTTTGATCATGCTGTAAATTTGCAATTTCGCGAATAATTAAAATTTTTGATTGAATGATATCCACGTTCATGAAATCACTAGAAGAACGCAGATATCTATATTTAGCAAGTCTCTATTCACCATAGAAAATTGTCATCGATACTGACCAGATATATTTAACTAATCCTAGTGAGGGACAGGGGCGGCGCTATCAGGGGTCCAAGTGGGGGAAAGGACCTCGTCGGGAAATTCCTGGCGACGCACCTGCTGAGGGAATACTTGAAAGTCATCCACAACAACAAATACTCATTTCTCCCCACGCACTTTTGCTGAAGGAATCAGTAGGGAAGCAACGTCACTGTAGTCATTCACAATGGCGTATCTAGTAGTCTTGAAATCCCTCTCCCATATATATGATTGCGTGAGGGATGCTCGCAAAAAGGTGATATGAGTGATTTTTATTTTTCAATGGGGAACGACTAGAGAAGGGGCGAGTTTTTTTAAGGGAAGGGTAGGGGAGATATTCTCCCCCGCCTACCCCTAGATCCGCCATTGGTAATTCAAGGTACAATTAAACAACATAAATCTCTTCACTCTAGTAGCCACCATGCGCCTGTGACCGATGTTCGAGGAGATCGTCACAGCACCCGATCGGACAGATCATGGACAGATGCAGCTGAAACTGGTAGGCGAATCGACCTACATTACTCTCAATAGGCTTAGAGACACGCTTGAGTAAGCCACAATTGACGTTGGGGATCGAATGAATCAGTAGTAAAGGCGTAATGGTATCCAAGCGGTATTGCGAACTTCTGATTACGTAAATAATGCCTTCGTACTGACGGTTTATATCAAGTTTCAAGTTCTATATCCATGAGTAAGTTTTGCTAAACCACCCACATTTAAACAATGTCCGAATATCCGAACATCATCAGGTTTATTGTCTATTGTACTGACAATAACAGTACTGTACTTTAGTCTCAGGCGAGTTGTTACTATGAATGCAGCGTTGCGGTACTTTTAAATAGAAAATATGTATATACTGTAATGCAATGGCCCAGCACGGTGAATTTGAACTGTGCAGTTCAATTCTGCATAATTCAATTACCTTATCAATGCGAATGTTTTATCATGAAGGCACAGAGACCACCAATATGTTTAGCATATGGTTACAGTATTATAGGGCGTCATAATATCTTTATTGAATACATGTATATACTTTCTTTTGCAAAAGTCTATCTGCAGTGTTTATAAATACTGTATATGTACTGTATATATATATATTCGTTGAAAAGCTACAGGGTAGCCTACGATGTTCCATCATGTCCTTAGTAAACACTGTATATGTACCTGTCTCTTATACACATCTAGATGTGTATAAGAGACAGCATGTGAGTTGAATGTGGCAAGAATAGACTCACAACGGACAGAAACAATTTGTATTACTGTATATTTTTTTTAATCAAAATATAAATAATACGGTTTCAGCTAATAAAAATACTTGTATGAAATAAAACTAATATTCATTTTTAAAAACGTTGTTGCACTTTTCACTTGAAGGAAAAACGATCTAGGCTAGGCCTAGTCTACGTCACGGTGCACCTCCCAAGACCTGACCGTATCATGGATTACTAGGTAGCGGGCGAAAACACTACTCGGCCCGGTGGGCCAGCAC